TCTCAAAAGCTGGGCTCCCCAGAGACCACGAGGGCCGATCTCAGAAATCGAAGAGGCACCTACTTTTTCCAGCCTTGTCAGCACCTGTCACACGCACACTCAGCTTTGCGGAAATTATGGGCATTCTGTCGAAGACTTCTGGGGAAGTAGAAAACACATGAATCTTACTGTTCAATCACCCACTTCCCACACGCAACAATAGCTCATGGGTACCACAGATAACTTTGCCAAAGTTCTCTGCCAAAGTTGAGCACGTGAAGCTTGCAGCTCCCACTACATCGCTCTGACCAAGAAGGGTAAAAGAATAGCAAAGAAACAGCACTAACAAAGTTTAGACCCATAAATTTTGAAGGTCTAGCTACCATATTATTACCCACAAGGGTAAAGGAACAGTACCACTGCTGGATAATTGGAAAGTCCCTGTGTGTCAACCTCTGTGCTTCGTGGCAAGGTAGACTAGCAAACATGCCCAACCTTTACTCACATTCGAGAAAACACTCCCAATAAGATTGCTTGCTCCAAAATCGAAGAGGCACCGTCCTCCGAATCTCGAGAGCCAGACTCCCAACATGACTACTTTCTTAAAAATCGAAGAGAGGGTAAAGGAACAGTACCATTGCTGGATAATTGGAAAGTCCCTGTGTGTCAACCTCTGTGCTTCGTGGCAAGGTAGACTAGCAAACATGCCCAACCTTTACTCACATTCGAGAAAACACTCCCAACAAGATTGCTTGCTCCAAAATCGAAGAGGCACCGCCCTCCGAATCTCGAGAGCCAGACTCCCAACATGATTACTTTCTCAAAAATCGAAGAGACACTGCTCCCCGAATCTTCGAGAGCCAGACCCCCAGCATGATTGCTTTCTCAAAAATCGATGAGGCATCGTTCTCCGAATCAATCGAAGAGGCGCTCGCTTTCTCAAAAGCTGGGCTGCTCAGAGACCACGAGGGCCGATCTCAGAAATCGAAGAGGCACCTACTTTTCTAGCCTTGTCAGCACCTGTCACACGCACACTCAGCTTTGCAGAAATTATGGGCATTCTGTCGAAGACTTCTGGTGAAGTAGAAAGCACATGAATCTTACTGTTCAATCACCCACTTCCCACACGCAACAATAGCTCATGGGTACCACAGATAACTTTGCCAAAGTTCTCTGCCAAAGTTGAGCACGTGAAGCTTGCAGCTCCCACTACATCGCTCTGACCAAGAAAGGTAAAAGAATAGCAAAGAAACAGCACTAACAAAGTTTAGACACATAAATTTTGAAGGTCTAGCTACCATATTATTACCCACAAGGGTAAAGGAACAGTACCACTGCTGGATAATTGGAAAGTCCCTGTGTGTCAACCTCTGTGCTTCGTGGCAAGGTAGACTAGCAAACATGCCCAACCTTTACTCACATTCGAGAAAACACTCCCAACAAGATTGCTTGCTCCAAAATCGAAGAGGCACCGTCCTCCGAATCTCGAGAGCCAGACTCCCAACATGACTACTTTCTCAAAAGCGAAGAGAGGGTAAAGGAACAGTACCATTGCTGGATAATTGGAAAGTCCCTGGGTGTCAACCTTTGTGCTTCGTGGCAAGGTAGACTAGCAAACATGCCCAACCTTTACTCACATTCGAGACAACACTCCCAACAGGATTGCTTGCTCCAAAATCGAAGAGGCACCGCCCTCCGAATCTCGAGAGCCAGACTCCCAACATGATTACTTCCTCAAAAATCGAAGAGACACTGCTCTCCGAATCTCGAGAGCCAAACCCCCAGCATGATTGCTTTCTCAAAAATCGAAGAGGCATCGTTCTCCGAATCTCGAGAGCCAGATACCACAGACCACTTTTTCAAAGTGCTCTGACAGAGTTAAAACATGTGAAACTGGCAGCTCCCACTACCGTGCTATGACCAAGCAGGGTAAAGGAATAGCATTACTACTTGTTGTTAGGGAGACTCCTATATATGTCGACCTCCATCCCCAACGGACAGGCAGACCTGCAAAAATGCTCAACCCTTCATCATATCTGAGAGGGCACTCCCAACGAAGCCTTTCGAAATATTCAGCTTTCTTTCCCCCCGATAATACCTCTGCAAACAAGCTATACTAGAGCAAGAATATCTCATATCATCAGGGTTAAAAGCAAGAGTATCCCATATCATGCTTTTTCCCTGTCTTTTCCTTTGGCCTTGTTTTTACCTGCAAGACAAGGAGAAAGAGAGCAATCAGTCAGCACTTGGAATCAAGCTTCCAGCCAGGAACTGACTGCCTGGAACCCCTTACCTGATTACTTACCTGGCATTGCTCTCGAGTACTCATCTTCAACATCTTATGTTTCCAGGGAAGATTTCCGCATCTGCTTGAGGAACAGATAGGGCAAGTGCGAAGGATACAAGGAAGCATGTGGAGACAAGCGTAACAGCACACGTGCCGATACATCCATTACTCTGTCAAAAGCAAAAGTATCCCATATCAGCAGGGTGGAACGTACTCTAGATTTGATGGACTTGTTTTGACCCTCAAATTCTTCAGTCGGCCTTATACTCTGGAGGAAACCAGAAAAACCCTCCAGCTCAGTTCAAGAATAAGCCTGTGGAAAGTTACTTCTTCAAAAGCAAAAGTATCTCATATCATCTCTTCTCATTTTTCTTCTCTTTATCCTTCATGCTGCTGCAAGATGGGGAGAAGGTGAACAATCAGTCGGAGCTCTGATTGCTTACCTTGTCTGTCACCTCTTTCAGCAGACCCCCTAGCTCGGCGACTTGGGGGACTCCTACTACATGGTTTGTATCGCGCTTGACCAAGCCTGAAACTACAAGTAAGCTTCAAGTGAAATTGATACATTACCTTGTGCATCTCCACCAGTTGAAAGATACCACCCCTGGATGGAGGAAGAGTACTTCCAGAGAAGATGCCACATCTACCTATGAGACAGATAAGGCAAGTCAAGACGACACCACACTCCGATACTTAGAAGTTTCGTGATTACGAGATCATTCTCCCACAATATTTCCTAATGTCATTTGTACTAAATCATTCACTTGTACTCACTAAAGGAGAGCTTGAACCTATGTACTTGTGTAAACCCTTCACAATTAATGAGAACTCTTCTATTCCGTGGACGTAGCCAATCTGGGTGAACCACGTACATCTTGTGTTTGCTTTCGTATCTCTATCCATTTATATACTTATCCACACTAATGACCGGAGCAATCTAGCGAAGATCACAAAAAGCGACCGTTTTCGCTACCTAGGATCTATCTTGCAAGAGAACGGAGAATTAGATGGAGATCTCAACCATGGAATACGAGCTGGATGGATGAAGTGTAAGAGTGCATCCGGCGTGTTGTGTGACCGTCGTAGGCCACTAAAGCTCAAGGGAAAATTTTATAGGACGACAATAAGACCAGCAATGTTGTATGGCACAGAATGTTGGGCGGTGAAGCATCAACACGTACACAAAATGGGTGTAGCGGAGATGAGGATGCTTCGTGGGATGTGTGGGCACACGAGAATGGATAAGATTGGGAATGAGGATATCCGAGGTAAAGTAGGAATAGCCGAAATTGTAGGAAAGATGAGAGAAAATCGGCTCCGGTGATTTGGACATGTGCAAAGAAGGCCGACTGACGCTCCGGTTCGAAGATGTGACTACGGGACAGAGGTTCAGGGCCGAAGGGGTAGAGGAAGACCTAGGAAAACTTTGGAAGAGACTCTAAGAAAAGACTTAGAGTACTTGGATCTAACGGAGGACATGACACAAAACCGAGCGCAATGGCGTTCTAGGATTCATATAGCCGACCCCACTTAGTGGGAAAAAGCTTTGTTGTTGTTGTTGTATTAGTAATGATGTGTTTCAGTAGGTATAAAAATGCACCAACACAATAAAATAATTGAGCTTATAATCATATCACAGCTTTACTCAAATTTATCTTATAAGCCAAGGGATGGAATCATATAATGCACAACTATATAATATTCATTGTTTCTGACTTTAAAGAAATGCTTTGATCGATAAAGTTGGAACTACCCAACAACCATAGCAGCATATGAAAAAGAATTGCGAACGTAAAGGCTATTTTGGTGTAGTTCAAGAATTTGCATGCTTATGCATGAATATACAAATATGTGTATACACAACCTGAATAGGTAAAGAATACATAAATACATTGGCACATAATTGTATAAGAAAGTGGTTCTTTTGGAACCAAATACGTAACCTTATCAAGTGGTTTAAGCACAAACTCAAAATAGATAAGTAAATTAGAATTAAAGTTGTAAGAAAAAAATGATATTACAAAGGCAACATCCTCAACTCCACAAAAGCTGCAGAAAAACAGTCTTAGTCAACCTAGATTAAGCCCGATTTTGAACACCCATAACTATACCAAATGATGCAAACTTACATGAGATTCAAAGCTTGTTTTGAGTGCATTAAAAACATATAAGATTTGTAGGAAACGGGGTTTCGATTTGAAAGTTATGCAAGATACAAAATAGAACCCCGAAACTGGAATCCAGTATTTGCTGCTTTCTGGCAGCTTCGTGACTTAAAATTATACATGGTTTTGACAAATCAAAACTCAACAGAATTATGTGAAATCAGATGGGCTTTGATTATTGACATGTCTAGTTTCAAAACACATAATAATAGATCAAAAGGAATCCACAAGGACATAGTAATCAGGAGCCAAAGTAAACTACTGGAAACATAGCTTTTCTCTGCAAGCACATAAGTTCCTGCAACTTAGAACCCAAACTCTTCTAATCCAAAACATAACTTCAGAATACTTCTATATACTTCAATCATATTTATAACTTTGATTTCAATTATGTCAACAATAAACAAGAATTGGCCTTTTTACCCAAACCCTAAAACATGATAATTTGATCAACACACCCAATGTATAAAATTGAAAGTAATAAGAAGATTGATACAAAACATTTATGGAAAGAACCAAGAGAGCTAGGAGTTTTTACCAATGTTGCAGGTCGACAAAAGGAATCATACCTTCGTTATGATTCTCTTTGCTTCTTCAGACATCGTCTTCTACACTTCCTTATTCCGGTTCATAGTTTCGGGGCGGTGGGATTCCTCGTAATCCCCTTCTTGGCCAACGCCATCTCCCCCTGTTTTTTTTTCCTTTTCTGACCCGTCTCTCCCGTTCCCGTGTTGGGATTGAAACATTGTGTCCTCCATATGATGCTTGCAACATGCATCACCGAATCAACTTGAAGCTCTCCACCTCTCCATCTTGATTCTTTGGCACAAATAGTTAAGTTTTGAGATGGGACAAAATGGGTCTCAAGACCCACATACAATGCATCCGATGGTGTTGAAATCCTACAGATCTTCCTCGTGGACTCTATGCCACCATACGTGAAAACCCAACATCTGGGACCAAACAAATTACATTCTCTGGCATAGCAAGAATAATCCTCCCTGCTGAAAATCCTCTCCCTTGCTGCCATCAGGCAGCCTCTAGAGTTCTCTCCCTTTTTCTTTTTGGTCCCTCACTCTTTTATCTAATTAGTTACTCTTCCCACATGATGGGGGTTTAACTAATTTATAATCTATAGTTTAGTAAAACGATTTCAAACGTCTGTAACTGTACCGTAATAATCTGGACTCACAAACAGCTTTCGCCTATATGTTCGTAGTTTCGAGATATGTTCGAAAACGTTATTTGTGACCTCGAAAGGTCAACGAGTAAATAATAATTTTCCAAACTTCACTCTTCGTACCTAGTTTAATTGAAATCTAAATTCAAATAAATTAATATAATTTCTCGTAAAATAATGTAAAGTCTCAATAATATAATTTCGTAGATTATAACACTGAAATCCAAGAACGGGATTTCATAGGTCACACGCCGCTGCACAAGCCGTCGCGGGTGGCGGTTTGCCGTCCCGACTCGTTGGAAAATTCAACTATTTCCAAAAATTACCAAATTTTACAGGCAAGTAGATCTCAGTGAGTGAAGCAAGTTTTATACATGTGGACAAGTCCAATTTGGCCGGGAAAAGCTCCAATTTCACTCAAACCCGTCGAAAACCCTAAGATGGGTGTTCTTCGATTCGACTTCCTCCATCTTCCAACGCCCCTAGAACTGATTAGGTCTTATTCTGGGTCCAAGGGGAGTTGATTAAGGGTGGTGGTGGGTGGTGAGACTCACCGGAGTGTCGAATCGCTGTTGAAAACCTCCGAGTTCTCCGGTACGGTTCTACTTGAAATTGGCCTTAAAAACCCTTGAATTTGAGAAAATATGGTAGATGAGAGGTTGTGGAATAAGTTGCAGGTGGTGGAAGGGTGAGAATGGCCTAAAAATGGTGGAGATTGGCCCGAAATTTGTCCGGGTTGAAGTCGGGTTTGTAGGTGCACGGGGTTGACGAAATGGAACGGGGAAAAAAAATCCCCCTTTCCTCTTTTTCCCTTTTTGTTCTTTCTTCCCCCTTTCTGATTGGCTGCTGCCTAACCTCTCTAAAATCTGATTGGTCCCCTTCCTCTTCTAACTGATTGGTCCCTTAACCTAAATATCTGATTAGGAGTATTTTTGCTCACCACTATTTAGTGTGGTGTATGTTCACCACCTTATTTATCACCATTGGTTTGTCTCCTCACCTTTTTGGGTATTCTTCACTATGGGTTTTACATTCTTTTTTTATCAGTTCAAATTTTGATTATTTTTTCAATTTTATTGTATTAGATAATTCTATTTAATTTAAATTTGTGTTTTCCTTATTAGTTATAATCCACAAAATCATCCAAGTCATTTAATGTTTAACAATCTCCACATCATTCTTGATTTAGACCGTTGAATGTTATAGGATCCAAAGGCTACAAAGGAGTGTAAAACTGTTTGTCAAAATCTTTATCCTTTGATCCTATCCTATATATATATGGGGAAGCATTATTGACACGTCAAAAATCTCATTCTACATTCTACACTCCCCACAAGTGTATTTTTCTTTCCTAATATAAAAAGTTTGGAATGTAGAATGAGATTTTTGGAGTGCTAATAATAATTCCTTATATATATTTATGTGTGTGTGTGTAAATATAAATATATGATCCCAAAACTTTGACAGGCGAAAGAAAGACTTGTGGCGGACCAACATATGTGTAAGTGCTCTATCTTCAACTTCCCCCTCTTATTTTTCCATCCACTTGTCATCTCCCTCCATCTCTCTCCAACCACACAACCACTGGAATACACCCCACAACCATTATAGCAGTGGATCCACCACCACTGCAACTTCAATTCCAAGTGTTGAGTGTCAATTAGCAGATGCGGCACTGAACGAATTTCAAATCTGTTCTTCGCCAACGACAACCCATTCCACCAACTCAGTCTTCGAAGGCCATCTTGGCACAAAATAATCCAGAACCATGATTGAGCTGGTGAACATGCAAGGGAGTCAGCAGACTGGGCAAAGAGAGTCACAGATACGAAATGGGAGGTAGAAGATACCGGGGGGTAGTTTGGGTATAAAAGTTGGATTCCTGGAAGAGGGAGTCCAAATACCACCTCCATCTAGGAGATCCGACTTCGGCAGATTTAGGGATCCAACTCCTAATTTTAAGTGGACCCCATCTTGTTTTTTATTCTAGAAATGTAGGCTTGAATGCCTAGAAAAGAATACAAGTCCGTTTCTTGCCATTCCGTTCCGGTTTCGTAAACACGCCCTTAGTTATAAGTTTGCATTATTACATTCCTTCCTCCTGATATCTTCCTGCCTGGTCGTCCTCTTCTTTTCCAATTAAAAATCTTCTGCGACTCCTCCTCACCAAGCAGCCACTTTGCTTCAAATCTTTCAAATTGAAATTCCTCTCCTTCAACCTTTGCATGTTGAATTTCACATCAATATCATCTCCCTATAACCTAGGAGCCTTGTTCGGATTCAAGCTTTTCGACGGTAATTGGACGATTCCTCCGACTCCCGCCGTCAAGGTTAGTCTGAAACAATTCCTACCTTATTGATTTATTGCATGTCAAAATCTGCTTCAAATTTGTGGTTTAATATAATTGGGCTTTAGAAAAATTTTCATGATTTTGTCTAATCCAATTTAACAATTAGAAATTTCGCCTGGGGATTGCAATTTCATCTGCTCCAAACAAATAGATTCTTTTTAATCTGAATTTAGGAAATTATATGTGAATTTGTTTTACATCTGATTTTGTTGGATTTAGGGGTTGTGTTTTAGGCCTCGTTTGGTACGTCGTATATAGCATCGGATAGGATTATTAATACGGAGCCAGGTGTTTGGCGCGCTCTCGTATTAAATTGGACCGGACTAATTTAATCCGATGCTCTTATTTTATACGGTTTACGCCCTCTTAATAAACCCGTCCAAAAGGAGTGTATAATTTAGTCGGGTCCTTTCTCTCTCGCGCGAACTGGGCTTTCTCTCTCACTTCCATCGCCGTCTCATTCTCTCACCGACTACATTCTCCCCGTCTCCTTTGGCTGGCTATGTTCTTGCCATCTCCCCTGCCCAACTCTGTTCTCCTGGTCTCCTCTCATCGACTCCGTCCTCCTCTGCCGACGTTGATCTCCCCAGCTCTGTTCTCCCCGTTGCCATTTTTTTGGTTTAATTCAGACGCCCACAGAGAGACCAATCGCACCACCACTGCACAAATTCTGAAAGATTTCATTTGGGTTTTAGAACCTTGACTTGGATTCGATGACAAGATTCGAAAATTCGGAAAGATTTCATCTGGGTTTTACGATTTTGCATGTTTCCCCTTTTTTTGTTTTCTGATTGTGATTTAATTTCATTAGTTCGGGGTATTTTTTGGATTAGTTTCAGATGTACAGAGGGGGAAGATCTGCTTGACGATGCATTTCAATGCCTCTTTAGGCCAAGAATTGTAAGGAGATAGAGACTGATGCTGTTAGGGGACAGTGCGGCGGAGAGATCTGGGGAAGACTGAAGCTTTTTTTTTTTTTTAATTGTATTTTAAGTAACTTGATTTAAATAAAAGAAGATTTTGTTTTTTGTTTTACTTTGATCCATTAGGTGGTTGTGAATTTTATTAAGTGTAAAAAAAAAATAAAAAATTCCCCTTGTTTTTATTAATCATCTATTTTTATCTTTAAAAAGTAATAATACTTTGAATTCTTCTTATTCGGTATAGTACCAAACGCAGTATAAATAATACGGTCGTTAGTCCGATACTACACCAAACGTCCGATTAATTTAGTCAGTACTATCCGGTGGCTATTTATCCTATCCGACTGAAATAGTCAGTACAGTCCGAGCTGCCAAACGAGGCCTTAGTGTTTCCTGGCCTGAGTTGTATATAAAGAAAAAAGAGTGATTTTTCTTTTTTGTATCGCAAAGAGTTCATCATGATCATAGACACGAGTTTGATATTATCAAGTAAGATGCCGAGTCCTCTTACATTCATGTAATTACATTTGTGAGCTGCTTTTCTGGGGTTTTGTTGATTTTGTTTGCTTATCTGGTACATACAAGAAGAGTGACACCGCCATGAACATTATAAATTTATACATGAAAAATGTAACACTTGGGCCAATCTAACCTTTTTTTTAGCACATCACATGAACAAAATAATAAAACATATGACAATGGGGTTTTCTCAAGTCAATTTTTGTTGGCATGTTGTTGTTTGTTGATTGATAAATGTGATTGCTTTTGACATTTTATGACAAAGAAGAAGAAGAGTATGTATGCTATAACATTATGAGTTTGAGAACTAAGACATGTAAATTGTATGGAGGTAAGCAACGGTTATGTGAGATATGTGAATTGTAAGGAGGTAAACAACAATTATGTGACTGTTTTTTTGCTAAAAGAATTATGTGACTTTTTGATATATTGTTCATTACGAAACAAGAAAATTAGAAAGAAAGTGTAATATATGATGTCTAACTATTCAACTTTGTTCCAAGCAATATTGTTTGGTGAAATAGTTGTGAATTGGAGAAAATTAAAAATATTTAAAATTCTTTTTGAGGTGGTTCTCATTCTCCGTGAAATACCAAATCTCAAGATCAATGGTGCCACAAAGTGGCATGTGAAGTAGTGCATTAATTATTCAAAAGAGCCCAACAAAACTCCAAGCAGCCCAATTCTGAAAACCCAAAACCCTGCCGACTTAAATCCTTTTTTTTTTTTGGGCGACTTGGATCTCTCACTCTGGGGCGCCGCCGCCATGGCCGACGCTCTCGCACCGGAACCCGAACTCTACTCACCACAACTGCACCAAAACACTCCAAACAGTCCAAGCAAACCGAACAGCCGCAAAAGAAAGTCCACCGACGACGGCAAAGCTCACCCCACAGTGCCTCCCCACGTTCAAAAACTCCTCAAACGAATTGTTTTGTCCCTGAGCAAGCCCTCCTATCTACTCGGTGTTGGCTCCACGAGACCCCGAGCCGAGCACCGCGCCCGGCTCACCAAGCTCATGCGGAAGCTCGTCAAGCAGCGCAACTGGGTCGAAGCCAGCGGAGTCTTGAGCGTGTTGTTGGAAGGCAGCCAGAAAGAAAGGTCGCCGGCGAA